CCCTGAAATATTTGTTTGCAAAAAGAGATGCGAAGCCAAGGCTAATTAGATGGATTCTACTCCTTCAAGAATTTGACTTGGAGATTCGAGATAGGGAAGGAACAGAAAACTAGGTGGCAGACCACTTGTCTCGATTAGAGTCCACTAATCAGAACGAACCCTCAGAAATCAAGGAACATTTTGCTGATGAACAAGTCCTTCAAGTTAATAATGTTCCATGGTATGCAGACTATGCAAACTTCATGGTAAGTGGTATCTTGCCTTATGAGTTCAACTCGCAGCAGGTAAAATTTTTTTTTGCATGATGCTAAACACTATAGGTGGGATGAGCCTTATTTATATAAGTTGAGTCTTGATAATATTTTGCGCAGATGTATAGCTGATGAGGAACAAACAGAAATTTTGAATGCATGTCACACGTCCCCGTATGGTGGGCATTATGCTGGACGAAAAACGGCCGCTAAGGTATTACAAAGTGGTTTTTTTTGGCCCACATTATTTCGAGATGCCCAACAATTCGCCAGGTATGTGATAAATGTCAAAAGGTAGGTAACATATCTCAAAAAAATTAAATGCCTCTTAATCCAATTTTAGAAGTAGAAATTTTTGATGTTTGGGGCATTGACTTTATGGAACCTTTCCCACCATCATTTGGTAAAATGTATATCGTGTTGGCAGTTGATTATGTGCCTAAATGGATAGAAGCCATAGCAACATCAGTAAATGATGCTAGAATTGTTATTCAATTTTTGCAAAAAAATATGTTTACTCGTTATGGCACTCCACGATTGTAACACCCCGAGTGCCTCAGGTTAGTCAGTCTCGAATTCAGGAATTTCATTTATTTTTTTTAATTAAACTTTAATTAAATTTATACGTATCGAGTTCCGCAGGATTGGTTTTATCTTGCGTTGGGATGATCTTCTTGTCCTCTTGGGCTTGGTCATGTGGGCCTTTATTGGGTTGGGTTGGTTTTAAAACAAAGGAAAAAGAAAAAAAAAAGAATAAGGGAGAAAAACAAAATAAAACACATTAGGCTCTCATCTTCTTCTTCCTT